TCCTGATAATAATGAATTACAGTAGTCCAGCCTGGAAGTAATAAATGCGTGAACTAGTGAACTAGTTATTACTACTCTACAAAACATGACATATAACATTTCCTGTTTTCAAGATTTCCAGCATTGTACTTGATTTGAGACATCAGTGGATATTTATATATCACGTTTTTATTTTTCTACAATTTGACTCATCATCAATTTTCAGACTTAAAATGTCTTTAGGGTGTAATTACAGCTGTGTACAGGAAGTACATTTGAGTATTTCACCTGGACCCACAACACCGAATTATTTAAAAATTATTTTAATTGCGATATTACACAAGCCCGACATTTTGGAAACATAGGTCTACTGTATTTGTTACCAGTTATAACTTGTTGACCTGAGCGTTTCCAGTTTGCACTGTGTCCTCTTCAGCGCAGCAGATAGCATCTTCACTCCTGAATCTTGCAGATCATTGTGGTTCAGGTCCAGCTCCCTCAGGCTAGAAGTCTGTGAGATGAGAACTGAGGACAGAACGTCACAGCTTCTCTGTGAGAGTTTGCAGTCACAGAGCCTGGACAGAAAATAATAAACATGAAAAACATTTAATTTGAAACGTAAATAAAGTGCCTCTATCAACCAGCAAAAGAAATCTTTACGGGACCAAAGGATGGGAATTTCCACAGTGTGCAGTTGTGGGAAATTCATCGAAAACATTTGATTTCATCAGCTAAACATTTGCTATCCATAGTGCAAAACCTGCAAGTCACCACAAATTCCTCTAGGTGTAACATGCTATACAAATCTAGGCTGTATATAATATAAATAATTAATAGAAAAATACTATGGGAGAATTCAGGGTGACCTTATCCAACCCTGACTTTAAGAACCAGGATGGTTTTTAAACCCAGTTGTGAAAGCAGAGAGAGAGTCCTCACAAATCCAAACTGGGAAATGGTTCCACAGAAGACGGGCCTACATATTCATTCTCCAGCATTCTGGATCAATTGAAGGTGTTTCACTGAGCTTTCATAGCAATAAATGACAACAGTCCACTCCAGAAGTATTAAATGCATGAACTACTTTTTCAGCATCACTCTGAGCCAGGATGTTATTAATTTTAGAAAGATTGTACAAATGTATGAAAGCAGTCCTGCATTTTCCTAGCATTGTTCATAATTTCTTCAATCAGTGAAGACTAAGATGTCCTAGCTTTACAGAAGAGTTTTTAATAGCATGTATATAGAGCAGCAAGCTCTTATTCCAGGATAAATGAAGATCTTTCTGGTTTCTTACAAGCACCAGAGTCCTACAAATTGAGGATATAACATTATTAACGACTCCTCTGTCGAAGTTTAGGCCCTGGTGCTACATTTAATCTGTCTATCTAAAATTGAGCTCCCTCATGTAATGTGCTGGGATGTGCAAAAACGTCATACTCAAAAATCAATAGGAAATCAGCTATTTTGATTTTAAGGTGCAAGTTTGGCTGCATATTTTCTGAGTTCAATCCAAAGATATTGGTGATGTAAAGTTGTCTTTTTGTGAAACAGCATTTTTGTGGCAAATAAAACTTAAATATAGTTCGATCTGTCCCAAACATCACATGCTTCATAAGAATCCAAGCCTTGAGATATCTATGTCGCGATATTAGGTCACACATAGTGTCATCTCATGTAGATCGAATTTACATTAAAGGTTCCAACCATGATGTACAAAAGTAACTACAGCTTGTTTGGACATACACAAGGGCCCTATCATCTGTGCTTGCAACCTTATTATTATTATTATTATTTAGTTTATCAAGTATTTAGAGCCCTCAGGCCTTTTAACTCTGTTCTGACCTGAGCGAATCCAGTCTGCAGTATGAACTCTTCAATCCAGCAGACAGTATCTTCACACCAGAATCTTGCACATTGTTGTTACTCAAATCCAGCTTCCTCAGATGAGATGAGTCACAGTTTAAAACTGAGGACAGAGCTTCACAGCTTCTCAGTGAAAGGTTACAGCCACTTAGTCTAAAGGGAAAATAACAGAGCAATGATTAGCTCTTCTAGTAAACTGAGTATCTCAATAAATATCTGTGTACTTACACAGCTTTCTTGGAGGCTTTGATGACTGGTAGCAGCCTCAGAAGAGCCCTTTCTGAAACATCATATTTCTTCAGCTCAAACACATCCAGATCCTTTTCTGATGACAGTAAGATGAAGACCACGGCTGACCACTCGTCAGGAGACAGTTTGTCTGTGTAGAGACGCCCTAAATTCAGGTTCCACTGGATTGTCTCTACTAGAGAACAATCATTCAGTTCATTCAGACAGTGAAAAAGATTGATAGTTTTCTCTGTAGGCAGATTCTCACAGAGCTTGTTCTCAATGTACCGGACTGTCTGTTTACTTGCTTTTGAGATACTTTCTGAATAAGTCACAAGGCCTCTGAGTAGAATCTGATTGGTTACCAGTGAAAGACCCAGCAGAAAGCGGAGAAATAAGTCCAGGTGCCCGTTTGGACTCTGTAAGGCCTTGTCCACAGCACATTGGTAGAAGTTTGTAGAAAAGGTTTCTTCTTTTTCCAGCAGATTCACTTCAAAGTTGATAACTGTCAGATGGGCATAAAGAGCAGCCAGAAACTCCTGAACACTCAGATGGATAAAGTAGAACACCTTGTCCTGGTACAGTCCTCTCTCTTCTTTAAAGATCTGTGTGAACACTCCTGAGTACACTGAGGCTGCTCTGATATCGATGCCACACTCTGTCAGGTCTGATTCATAGAAGATCAGGTTTCCTTTCTGCAGCTGATCAAAAGCCAGTTTTCCCAGAGACTCAATCATTTCCTTGTTTTCTGAACTCCAGTGTGGATCTGTCTCAGTCCCTTCATCATACTTGACCTTTTTCACTTTGGCCTGAACCACCAGAAAATGGATGTACATCTCAGTCAGGGTCTTGGGCAGCTCTTCTCCATCTCTGGTTTTCAGCACATCCTCCAGAACTGTAGCAGTGATCCAGCAGAAGATTGGGATGTGGCACATGATGTGGAGGCTTCGTGATGTCTTGATGCTGGAGATGATCCTACTGGCCTGTTCCTCATCTCTGAATCTCTTCTTAAAGTACTCCTCTTTCTGTTGGTCAGTAAATCCTCTGACCTCTGTCATCATACTAACACATTCAGGAGGGATTTGATTGGCTGCTGCAGGTCTTGTGGTTATCCAGAGGCGAGCAGAGGGAAACAGATGTCCCCTGATGAGGTTTGTCAGCAGCACATCCACTGAGGTCGACTCTGTAACATCAGTAAAGATCTCAGTGTTGTGGAAGTCCAAAGGAAGTCGACACTCGTCAAGACCGTCTAAGATGAACACAACCTGGAAGTCTTCAAAGCTGCAGATTCCTGCTTTTTTGGTTTCAGTAAAGAAACGATGCACAAGTTCTACCAAGCTGAACTTTTTTTCCTTCAACACATTGAGTTCTTTGAAAGTGATTGGAAATGTGAATTCAGTGTTCTGGTTGGTTTTGTCTTCAGCCCAGTCTAGAGTGAATTTCTGTGTTAAAACAGTTTTCCCAATGCCAGCCACTCCCTTTGTCAGCACTGTTCTGATCGGTTCATCTCTTCCAGTGGAGCCTTTGAAGATATCTTCTAATCTTATTGTTGTTTCTGGCTGGTGTATTTTATGGGATGCTGTTTCAATCTGTCTGACTTCATGTTCATCATTAACCTTTGTAGTCTTTTGTTCTGTGACGTAGAGCTCTGTGTAGATCTGATTAAGAAATGTTGGGTTTCCTGCTTTAGCGATCCCCTCAAACACACACTGGAACTTCTTTTTTAGTTTGGACTTTAGTTTGCATTGACACTGAACAAAAGCAGCTTAATACAGGAAGAAAAAAAAATGAAATATGTAGCAGTTAGTGAGCAATGAAAACATTATCAATGAATGTAATCAGTTCTACATTTACAGTGTCTTCTACGTTGAACTTTCTCAAGACCCCTCAGTTAGAAGATGTCCAGGAGTCATTTTAGGCAGATATCTGAGACACATTAGTCATTATCAATACGCAGGACTGCTGCTCTGTTCAGAGCCTCTTCTTAATGGCTAGAGGTGGCAAAAGTAAAGAAGATCTTCACTTAAGGAAAAGTAGAGATACTTGTTTAAAAAATACTCTGGCAAAAGTTAAAGGACTGTGTCAACTTCTTCACTTCGGTAAAAGTGAAATCCTTGTGCTGTATTAATATAATAACAAAATAATATTAGTAAATGTGAATACAGACTTTTTAAAAAACCTTGCTTCCAAAGATAAACCAAAAAAATGAGTACAGTCAGAGGATAGTAAAATTTGGCAGGTGAGGGTGACTCTATAATTGATAGTATTATCATTTCTATTGAAAGCTCAAGAAGACTTTCTTTGTCTGCAGGTTTTGATCAGCTGACCTGCTGGTGCTGATCTGAGGTTTACTGCTCTTTGTGGATTTATGCAACTGAGAGAAACAAGCCAATACTCCACAAACTATCTTGGCTGATTTCCATCCGTCAAACTGACAGTTTACTCTTTATACTTTCTTTACACTAGCCTGTATTCAGGTGACATAAAGGTTGAATTCAGTAACTCAGATAATTCATCTGTGGTACACTTGATGCAACCTAACTCTGACCATGAGCACCACACCCATTGTGCACCAGTCACGGTGCATTTCGTTTGAATTGTTATATACATTGTTATATACATTACCAACCACTTCAAATCTGCAGCCCACTTTAAATAAATAAATAGGAAATAAAACCCAAAAGTTGTCAGAAAAATAAATACATAAGTGCAGATACTGTCCCACCTCTGTTAATGTGAGAGTTGCTTACCCTGCTAAGCATAGACTGCCAATAAAGGAAGCATGTTTTCCACTTGTATACATGGCCTTATTCCTTTGGCCACTAACCAAAGCTAGCTGTTGATGGTAAGACTATCAA